CCCTCCCCAGCCCCTCACTGGACAGTACAGGAGGTGCTGGACCCCATCAGGTAGAAAGGGAGCCCAGGGTTATGCCGCTGCTGCCTGCCTAGAGCTCTGCAGGCTTGAGTTCGGGGGAAGGGGAATGGGTGTTGGGAAGGAGCCAGAAAGGCCCAAGAGCATCACGGGTTGAGCATTCTCCCTAGGGAGTCAGTAGGACAGAGAGAACAGTGACAGCTGGTGGCCAGGCACTCCTCTTTGCAGGCTCTTTGAGTTGCAACTACACTATAACCCACAGGTGCTCCCACCCTGCTAAACACAGGTCCTCGGGGTCAGCCTCCTGGGTCTCACCCTCCCCTCTCCTACAGCAGAAACCCTACAGAACAGAGGCTACTTCACAGCCTCAAGGGAGTCTCAGACGAAAGAGAACTCCAGAGTTCATCTTGTGCATCCTCTGCCTCTGGGCAGGAAGGGACAAAGAAAACCAACCCAAAGCTTTGCGCAGGAAGGCTGGGTTTGCCAGCGGTGCAGGCGGCTGCCCAGGAGGCAGCTCCAGAGCCTGGCCTGGCTGATGGCGGGTGAAACATGTGTGGTCTGAGCCGAGTCCAGATGAATTGCAACAGGAGGGCCAGAGCAAAGGAACTCGGGGACCTGCCAAATCAAAGGAAACTGATACTGTGCATTAAAAGCCAGCCTGGCCTCTTTCAGACTGGCTGGGGAGACAGCCCCAGCCCTGCGCAGTTTCTGGCCTCCTCCTTTCTACTCTCAGTCCTGAACTTGCCTCTAACTTGAAAGGGCTAATTAAAGCCAAAGAAAAATCAAAAGCTTGTTATCTGGCTCCATTACTCCCAGTCCTGGCATTGGCCTGCTTTGCAAAGCTGTTTTCCCTCTGTTCTCTCCAAGGCTACCTCTGCAGACTTCCATGGTGAACTTGGCTCTTTGTACTGTGGCCAGGAGCAAGGGCAGGACAGACACCTGCCCACGGGCAGCCAGATGGATCCCTGCTGCCAGTTTTGCTCCCAAAAGCATCACCCAGAAAGACAGAGTTTGGAGCAAGTGTTCTACAGAAGTGTCAGAGATTGCCACCCTGCTGATCTCACGAGGAGGTGTGGTTTAGTGCACACATGGCACACATTTTCCATTCTCGAATGCAGGATGTGTGTGCATGCTCCTGCAGGATACTGCATGTGTACGTGTCCTGAGGGGGGTTTTCCTCAAGGACTGGCTCTGCCACTCACTTACAAGATGTGCAACCTTGGCAATTCGTTCACCTGGCTGGGCCTTGAGGTGCTCAAATATGAAATGCAGGTATAGACCAGGGGCTACGGGTCCCCTCAACACCCACATTCAAATGTGTCACCTCTGAGTGTGGCACACACACAAAGCACAGATGCAGGCCTATCAGTGGTTGCCTTCATTTGGGAGAAGCACATGGTCCCCAAGTTCATAACTCTGCCTCATGGACTCTCTTGAGTGGACCAGTTACTGCCCCAAACAAACAGCTCCAGGGGGCTTCTCTTCACCCAAACTGAGATTACAGAACACATTTTCTCAAGCTAGGTTTCTAATTTTTTTTTAAATGGACAATTTAAGAAAAAGGAAAACTAGGTGCAGGACTTAACTACAACAGAGACTTTACCTAACAAATGCCAACATTGTAACCTAAGTGTTTGTACCTTCATATAAATCTGAAATTTAAAAAAAATAAAGAAAGAAGGGGTGACATGGAAGACGCTGGTACCTGAGCCTTCCCAATCACCTAAAGAATGTGCAAAAGGCAGGTGCTTTTTAGGGAGGATCACAAGGCAGATGGGCTAGGAGAGATGGGAGGCTCTATCCCCTGTTACCTGTGGTGACCCAGCAAGGCTCCAGCCTTCTGTCTGCCCTTCATTCTGCCCTCCCCTGTGCCAGCTGCCCCCCTGTCATCCAGTGCTGCTCTCTGGCTCCATCATAACTCTATGATGTGTCTCTATGTGCCACTATGTATACAGAAGGTGCTCTCTATGCCACTGTGTATACAGAAAGTGCTTAATAAACATGGTTTGTCCCTTCTTATCCATTTTCCAAGCAAGTTGGGCTTTTCCTGTATGTTCATTGGACTTTTACTGTGCCATATCTGACTTCAACTTACCATTCCTAAAGACACCACAGGGGTGAAAGCACCCCTGTCCTGAAACTCCACCTCTATCCCAGATGTAGGCTGACTACTCACTCTCTCCTTTCTCACTCCCACTGAGGTTTATTCTAAGCTCCTGGGAAAATGATTCACAGGTTTAGTGGGTAAGAGGGATGGGTACATGTCTCGTACCATGGCACACTGTAATCTAGCACTTAGCCACACCTGGTGCACACAACACCAGCTTAACACAATTCTGACCTCCCAGAACTCCCTCCTGTAACCAGAGAGCCAAGATGGAACAGAAAAAATTGCCCAACAGGAAATCTATGTTTTAGCTCCAGCTCTGATTCCTAGACTCTTAGTGTCATCACCGCTGAGCTGGTGACGCTGAGTCCAGTGAGACGCAGAGGTGGGATATACTCATCTCATCTAACAAAGCGGATGGGTGAGGCAACACCCCACACTGGCTGCAAGGCTGAGGTCCTCATCCTCTACAGCCCCCCACCCTGGCCTGCCAGCCTCCTGGACTTACCGCGCTGCTGCAGGGGATGTCCTTGACCTTGAGCCAGGCCAGGTCCAGGGTGCCCTCCCCCCGGTAGCAGGACTGCAGCCGCTCCTTAATGCGGTCGTTGATCTGCTTCAGGATGAAGATGCACAGGGCTGACTCATCCAGGGATTTCATTTTGCGCTTCTGGCCCTTAGAGAAGACAGTAAAGAGCAGGTCATCGTCTGGACGGACTCCAAGGGTCCGGCCCAGCACGGCCCCAGCCTTGGACAGGTAGGCAGCCTGCAGCAGGCGGTACTCCACTCCGCTGCGCTCACAGCCAATGGGCACCTCCACGTAGGAGTTGAAGGCTGTATCCTCCTTGCACAGCCTGACGAGCTTAGATGTGTAAACCTGCTCCTTGGTGGTGGAGCCTGGGGGAGACACCATCTCAGGCTGAAGGGTTAAAAAATAGACAAAGTTGCCGCTGCTAAAACCATAGATGTAGTAGATGTCAAAGTCAGGGATGACAGTGAAAGTGTCCGAGGGGATCTTAATCATCGAGGCCACAAACTCATCATGGAAGACGTAGGCAAACATGCCATCTGCCTCAGAGTTCTTGGTCAGCTTCCGGCTAGAGATGGTGGGAAAGTACTCTGGCTTCCCGTCCACTGCCGTGGCAATGAAAAGCTTGTCATCCAAGTTGCTGTAGGAGACTATGACGCCAAAGACCGAGCCACTCTCATTGACCCCTGATAGGTAATGCTCCTTCTTATGGGATGGCTCTGCCAACTTGAAGAGGTCCTCCAGCCGCAGCAGCTGGCAGATGCCCTGGTACAGGCTCCCGCAGGCAATCAGCCTGTTCTCCTTGTAATCTATGAGCAGCATCTTGTTAACATTGTTGGTGGAGGTCAGGGGCTCATTACAGGTCTGCACAATGCGGGGCGGGTAACACTTGGGATTGTCCTCGTCTGGCCCTGTCTGGTGGGTCACCAAGACCTTCAGGTCACTGGAGAGCTTGTAAATCCGGTTGATGGCCCCCAAGTAAATGTGTCCTGTCCTCTCATCCACCACCAGGTGATTGAAGCCCTCCGTGGGCTCCCCTCGGAAAGTGATGAAAGAGCGCTTCTGGGACAGCGGGGATGGCTGCCGGGGCAGCAGCATGGAGGAACCTAAGCCCACCATGAGGAGGTGGGACAGCAGGCAGGTCCAGTTCCAAGGCATGGTTTTCATGGCAGAGTCAGGTTCCCGCAGCACAGTGGCACTCGGGCACAGCGGTCCCCTCGGAGGGCCAGGACTCAGGAGGGCAGTGTCCCCTACAGGAGAAAGGAAACACTGTGATTGATGCTGGGGAGCAAGGGAAACATCTTCATTTCACCCTATAGCTTTTTGTCTGGCTGGACCTATTGGACAGAACTGCATGGGGGGCGAGGGGACAGGGAAGGGGCTGCTAGAGGCTGACGGAGCTGGCCGTCACTACAGGCATATGAGACAGTCAAGCTGGGTGGCAGCCACCCCAAGAGGAACATGTCAGTAGTAATAATAGTGATGATGATAATGATAATGGTAATAACAGTGATGATGATCGATGACCATTGTCTACCAAGAGCCTGAATTTGTGTCCAATACTGCCCAGCACCTTCTGGGGACTGTCTCATGTCCTCTTAGCCAGCCCTTCAATACCAGGCATTTTTTTCCTGCCCACCAGATCCGTGCCCACGCTTCCCAGTGCTCATGAGGCTGACCCATATGGACAGTACATCAGCGGGCTTCCTGCCCTCAGCCTGGTTAGGTGCTACCAGCAGGGGCATTAGCCAAAGACTGGAGGGAGCCAGAGAGGGTGGGAGGACAGAAGGCAGGGTGACTCTCTCCACTGTCCTCTCCAACAAGTTCCTCTGACTCCAGGTTCTGTGAACCACCTCCTATAGCCCCCATTGTCCCTACAGGTGGTAACAGGGGCCTCACTGTTACTATCCCCCCAGACACACTACCTCTTAAGTAACCACACACTTAAATGAAGATTCCCTTTACTAACTCAAACTTGTGTGTGCCACCTGCTGCCTGCTAAGACCCTGACTGGCAGACCTCAGAAGTACATGCTGTTCTTTAATCCCCGTGTTATAGGTATGGAATGTGGGCCTAGGGAAGCTATATGACTTGCACACCTAAGAGAAGTGGAGGTGGTTTCAAACTCGACTGGTGTAAATTCATCCTTAACTGCTAGAACACTTCCATTCCTCCAGCCTTGTGCAGGTGGGGCTGGACCTCAGTTCCCATCACACGCAGCAGGAGGGTTAAAGATGAACCCCTGCTCCTGGGCTGTCCACTATAGCCTCTACCTCTGGTCTTCTGTGTCTGTACCTACTTTAGGGGCATCTTCTCCGCTGGACAGCGCAGTGAGGCCAAAAGAAAACTCATACCCTCAATCCCTTCACACTGAGGCAGTGACCAGGTCCTCTGGGTACACTGCCCAGCTCTGAGCCCCAGTGTCATTTTAATAAGGCAGATCTTGGCTGTCTCCCATAGTGGGACCTCCTCTGAGAGCTTTTCATTAAAATGAGAGAAAAAATGTTTTATAAGTGGTCCAACAAATAAGTAACTCCCTATAGAACAAAACTGCTTCCCTTCCTAAGGGTCTCCTTCATTTCTATTCAAGGGACAGTTTCATAATTTTTTCCAATTCAGTAGAAATCGGTATAGGAATTGCCGACATCTTATCTGGGGACATCTAGGCTCTGTGGAGTCGAGGAATAGGAAAAGGTAGACTACGAAGCAATAGAAAGGTCCCTAGCAGGGAGTGATTACTAGGTTAGCCGGAAACCAAGAAGAGAAGGAAGAAAACAAAACAAAGACTTTACATTGTCAGCCAAAAGCTCAGGTCTTGCCGAGTAAATATCAGAAGCGGAAGGCTGGCAGATGGACAGACAGAACAGTCCCCACCAACAGCATCCTGCAAGCCAGTGGCCTTCAGTCCAGCTATGAGGCAAATGTTTGCTCAGAATACACACAAAACATGCAAGACGCTGCAGGACCCAGGACCAGGTCCTCAGAGAACTTGAAGTCTCACGAGAACTCAAATTATTGCATATGATGAGAAGTCATGTTCTCTATCACAGAGTACTCTGCATGTTGCTATGAGGAAAGAAGACCCCAAACTTGGGGTAAGAAAGCAAGGAGCAGGCTCTGGGAGGCCTTGGGGAGGGGATGGATTTGGGCAGAGCAGTGAACTTGGAGAAGACAAGCTCAGCTGAAGGGAAAAGAGTTCCCTGGGAGGGATCTGCATAGCCCGTGCACAGGCACATGACACCAGGAAGCTTATGTCTGGGAAACAGAGTTCATGGAAGAGTCCAGCGGAAGATAAGGATGGACAGAGAGAGGTAGGGTTTCATCAGGGTGTCACTGGGCCTCAGAGAGGTTTCTTTCTACTTAGCCCCAGCCTCTGCCAAAAGGGAGTCTAAAGCAGAGCATCTGTGAGTGCCACGAGGCCAAGGCAGGGTCTGCCTTGCTTTTGTGTGTCCATGGCACCAGGACCCTGGCCAGCCTACAGTGCAAGCTCCATGGCTGTGTCTACACTGGCAGAAAGAAGCAAGGAAGAACAGCAATGCTCATGGGCATTTCCTGCATGCTGGGCCCATGCAAATGCTTTCATATAGATTGCCTCACTTAACAACACAGCAGCTCTCTGGAGTCAGGATTATTTTACCCATTTTTCAGGTAAGAAAGCTCTAGCTATGCCATGACAGTGACTGCTGAGTGGCAGAACTAGGATTGAAACTCAGGTTTTTCTCAGTGCAAAGCCAGAAATTCAGAGCCCAGAATACAAAATACTTGGTGGAAGTGCTTTTAAATTCGTGTAAGACCCAAACACAGAAATCCCAAGATATTACCTACCAGAATCGGGAGAAAACCAAAGCCCCTCTAAGCCGCAAGGTGTAAGCTGGCAGAAAATACCTCCCAGATGGGTGCCATTCTGTATCTCTGTCAGTGTTAATGACTATAGACGCCTGGCACAGTCCTCTGCCTGACCCATAGGAAGTGGCTATTAGATGATGATGGTGGTGGTGTCATGCTGGCAAAATTGAAATAGAATTAGGATTATGATAGTGAGATAGTGCTTGGTAGTGCATCTCAACAGGAGTGATTACAAGTCAAGATGGTTCATCTCTAATTGCCTGGGCAAATCCAAATATCAGAGAAGAATCTAGAAATTTGACCCAAAAAGATTATCCAGTTCAATGATGCCCAGTCTCTGATTTTAGTGATAAGGAACCTGAAATCTAGAGAGATCAAATGCAATTGCAGAAGGTCACACAGTGGCCAGCACTCTTTCCATCACCCCGTCCTCTCTTTGGACTTTATCTAAACTTACTCTGGCACCTGTTCCCAGCCTTTGTCTCAGGAAGTCTGCTCTTGGGGCACCATATGCTCTGCAGGCTAGCACAGCTCTTGACACATCTCCACCAACAACCAAATTCTGCTGGTCATCCTCATTCCAGACAGCAGGTGCAGGTTGGGAATCCAACCATCAACCTTTCTTTAGGGAACTTTCTGCAGCCCCGTATTGGAACCCACTAGGCACATGGGAAAGCGCCTTCCCATACACACACACAGACCCACAGCTATCCATTGGTTCCCTAGTCTGCAAGAGGCGAGATGAGGGAGCCTGTAATTATGAATTTACTGAGCAGAAAGGTGCCAGGGCTCATTCTCCATCTTCTATTAGACACCGAAATGAGACACAGTTATGCATCTCAAACACTTATCACCCTCATCTGGGGATGGCGAAATTACTGTGCCTGGAGAGGAGGGGGACCCACAGAAACAATAACATGTGATGTGAATAACCTGTCTCTCATTTACACACCACGAAAGAGACTGATTAGGAAACAAATATGAGAGAAAGAAATGGAAGAGAAAGGGGAGACACAAGGACGTGAGCTCTCACTGGCCTCACCAAGGACCCCACCAGGCACCACCCCAGAGAAGATACAGTGGCCTCCCTCTCCCCCGCCTTGGGGCCCCAGGTAGGCAGAGCCACCAGTACCCTGCCCCACCAGGACCACCAAAGACTGCTCTGATCTGCCAAAGCTGGTGTTTCCAGAGGGGCTTCCCTTCCAGGACATCAATCCTTATAAGCAGTAATCCCAACCTAGGAAACCCCCACCCCCATTCAGATCCTACCAATCTTTTTATTTTCAAGTCACTCTTTAGCCAGTTTCAAAATAAAGTACTAGAGGCAACTATCAGCCCAACTCTGATTCTTAAAGGCAAGGAATGTGACCAATTCACCCCCAAGATCACCCTGAAAGATTCGGAGAACTAGATAGGGTGGGACAAAAGGCAGGAAACCTAAAAGGCCCTGAACCAACCCCAAACACTCTGCATTTTTCCCTTCTTTGAAATCAGATTTTAATTCTGAGTAGTCTCCAGGGAGGTGGGACTCATTTTTCGAAGCAAAATGATCAAAATGATCATCATTTTGATTAAAGAAATTGGGGCTGTCTTTGTTTTATGCAGCAAGTTCTAAAGAGCTCAAACTAATTTTCATGAAATAGCACCATTCTCTCAGATGCCTGAGTGGTAGAAAAGAAAGTTATTATAGAATAGTTTAAAATAGCAATTACCTCACAAATTACTTTAGAGTTTACAAAGTGTTTTCATAGATATTACCTTGTTCTGATTTCATTGTTCACGATAACTAGGCAGATGAGGCATTATACGTATACTCCCTTTATAGTTAGGGAAACTGAGGCATGAGCATGTAGGGTTCTTGACTGAGTTCACACAGTCATGTTGGGACTTGGAGAGCTCTTCAGGTCTCATTCAACTTATATATAATACATTTCCTCTGGACTGAGTCCTGGTCCTCAGGTCTCTTACTGTAGGGTAATAGATTTTCTTTTTTGTTTTTTGAGACAGAGTCTCACTTTCTTGCTCCCAGTAGAGTGCTATGACATCACAGCTCACAGCAACATCAAACTCTTGGGCTCAAGCAATCCTCTTGTCTCAGCCTCCCAAGTAGCTGGGACTACAGATGCCTGCCACAATGTCCAGCTATATTTTTTTAGAGATGGAGTTGGTCTCACTATTGCTCAGGCTGGTCTCGAACTTCTGAGCTCAAGCAATCCACCCACCTCAGCCTCCCAAAGGGCTAGGATTACAGGTCTGACCTACCACACCCAGCCGGTAATAGATTTTCCAAAAAATGTATTCTAAAATAGTGTTTCATAATT